TTGCCTTCTCCCTTGCTTAGCAGGTCCTTCATAGGAAACAACCTATTACCTCCCTAAGAAGTGGTCCAATTTGGTCAATCTGCAGTAACTGTGAGTCGCTTTTTCCTATGCCATCCTTCCATCCTGCCATTTTCACATGTAGTGTTTCTACGATGGCGTCATGCTGGCCCACTACCCTGCTGATGGCCCACTGTCATGAAGCCGGCCCATTGTCATGCTGCCGGCCCACTGCCGTGCTGCCGGCCCGCTGCCGTGCTGCCAGCCCGCTGTCGTGCTGCCGGCCCGCTGTCGTGCTGCCGGCCCGCTGTCATGCTGCCGGCCCAGTGTCGTGCTGCCGGCCCACTATCATGCTTCCGGCATGCTATCGTGCTACTGAGATACTATCATGCTGTTGGCCCACTATCATGCTGCTGGCCCACTGTCGTGCTGCTGGCCCACTATCATGTTACTGGCCCACTGTCTTGCTGCTGGAACACTATCGTGTTGCCAGCCCATTGACGTGCTGCTGGTGGTAACATGAACCTCATTGCTGTTGCAGCGTGCCCATGGCTGTCCTGTCAATCCCATGAACACAATGTTATGATTTATTAACAAACAAATGAGGGATGTACTTACTTGAACCATGTCTTTGGTCTAGGGTACATACGAGTTCGAAAGTTGTTTGACCCTTTCGTGTTAAGGTTATGTTCGCCCCTACGAATTTGATACTTGAAGTTTCACTGATTGTATGGAACAATTCCGCTAGGATTCTTGGCCCTAACTGACTTGTCTATGATGTAAGTTTCATGTATCCTCCTTGTTTCATCCATTGTCAAACCCCCACTCTTTCCTTGTCTATGTTCCTCATGCCTTCCCCACTTAGTTATTGTTCTGCCCCCCTCTACTACAGAAACCTTTCGTGGAACCAGCTGTCTGGTTCAATACCCCCTGCATTTGCGACCAGCATCCAGTTAATGTATGTCACTCTTCCCTCCGCCTTCTGTTGGGAGACTAATCAAACCCGGTCAGCTTCTGACCGAAGCGGTTTGGTTCGGTCGAGTCAAACCTTTTCATGATTGTTCTAGCTTCGAGGTTCGCCATATTATAGGTGAACCGCAGAAGCTTGATCAAACTTCAGAAGGTCCACTCAAACCATTTTCGGCTCCATAGTTTCTTTTAACATAATCACATACACATAGCATGTTTCTGGCAGCTTTTTCTCTTGTGGACCTGCTGAGACAGGTTCTCCCTTCTTGAACTTCTTCCTGCAATAAGGGAAAAGGGGAAAAGATACTGTTTGACAAAACTATTTCCTGAAATAAACAAGTTTGCATGGGTAGGTAGTCGAACCAGTTCGAGCGAGGTTCGGCTCGCTGCTCATGTCTCGGCACATTCTACTTCTTGTACCTTCATGTCTCTCATGTATCTCATGTATCTCATGTCTCTTATGTATCTCATGTCTCTCCAGTCTCTCATGTCTCTCATGTCTCTCGAAATCTCATGTATCTCATGTCTCTTATGTATCTCATGTCTCTCAAGTCTCTCATGTATCTCATGTCTCTCAAACTCTCATGTATCTCATGTCTCTCATGTCTCTCATGTATCTCATGTCTCTTATGTCTCTCAAGTCTCTCATGTATCTCATATCTCTCATGTCTCTCATGTCTCTCATGTCTCTCTTTTCCTTTCCATAGTTGAATCTTCCCTCCCCTTTCCCGACCCACCTCGCCACCACGTCACCGCCACGTCATGCACCGCTCCAACCCACCCTCCTTGCCGCCACGTCACACCCAACCCGCCCCACATCTCATGCCACGTCACACCCGACCCACCTTGCCACCACGTCACTGCCACGTCACACGCCGCTCCAGCCTACCTCCTCGCTGCCACGTCACACCCAACCCGCCCCACATGTCATGCCATGTCACAACCGACCCACCTCGACTCCACGTCACCGCCACGTCACGTGCTGCTCCAACCCACCCTCCTCTCCACCATGTCACACCCAACCCGCCCCACATGCCATGCCACGTCACACCCGACCCACCTCGCCGCCACGTCACGCGCCGCTCCAACCACCCTCCTCACTGCCACATCACACCCAACCCGCCCCACGTGTCATGCCACGTCACACCAGACCCACCTCGGCGCCACGTCGCTGCCACGTTACGCACCGCTCCAACCCACCCTCCTCGCCACCACGTCATACCCAACCCGCCCCACATTCCATGCCACGTCACACCAGACCCACCTAACCGCCACGTCTTCGCCACGTCACGCGCCACTCCAACCCACCGTCCTCGCCGCCACGTCACACCCAACCCGCACTGCCATGCCACGTCACACTTGACCCACCTCACCGCCACATCACCGCCACATGGATCATCTTGCCCGTCACTGCCCTCACTTGGAGCAGCTATCTCTGGACTGGCTGGAGGAATATGCTGACCCTCCAGCTTCTCTCTTTCTCCTACTGTCACGCATCCTTGTCTTGAACGGCTCCGGAAATCAGCTCCCTTACCTCACTCTTTGCACTCTCTAAGCTCTCAAGCCTCCTTCACCTCACCTACCTCTCCCTGCCTTAAATTGGCCTTTTTTCCCAAGATAGACCTGACCCTCCACTTGCACAACTACCATTTCTCCAGTCACTGAAATTCGGACTGCGGCATGCACAGTTCAGCCACATTTTTACGCCCGAATTTCAATACAGTACAGGGCCTTAAAACAGTTGCAGCTTACCCAATGCTACACCTAAGTGCAGCTTCCAAGCAGTATAGGGGAGGTGATGCCACGCCTCCAAGAGCTAAGCATCATTAACTACAGAAGCTTCAGCGGCCTGACAGATCAGTTCACCTTCCTCACCTGCCTGGGGAGCTTGACCATTTCCTCATACCACATGTTCAATCACTTGCCCAAAACACTGGAATCCTTCCTGCAATGAAGACGCTGGTGCTGCACAAGCTGCCGCTTCTCCATCTCCCTGTGTCCTTCACCAGCCTTGCATCTCTAGAGACATTTCTTCTAGTTGGGTGCGAGGGGGTGGATGCCTCGCAGCACTGCAGACTCTGTCTCTTGTATGCTTCCCAACCCTGGCTCTTCCAGAAGAGTTGGGGAAGCTCACCAATCTCGAGATTTTCCATGTCAAACAGAACCGCGGAGAGCAGCTGCCGTGCTCATTGACGCAGCTGGCATTGCTGACCAGGTTGGAGTTGGATGAGGGCATGATGGGTGGGATTCTCAAGGGAGTGGGGACGATGGCAAAGCTGCAGGAGCTGTACATTCACGGCTGCCCACACATTACAGGAATTCTGGAATCTACGACAAACCTTGTCAGCCTTAGGGTGCTCATCGTAAGTGAGTGTTCGAGATTTTCATCGGTTCCCAGGAGGCTGAACAGTCTTACCAGGCTCATGCAGTTGGAGCTGAGGGGATGTACGCTGCTGAACAAAGCCCCTCAAACTTTGCCAGTCACTCTCCAGGCTCTTTCCTATGAAAACAGTCAGCAGGTAGATTCTCTGCCAGACATTCCATCACTTAACGAACTCACGGAATTTCACTTGGGTATTGCGGGTGCAAGGTGTGTTGGGGCCATCGGTGAGCATCTGTCTGCTATGGAGCACCTGGACCTGCAGCTGGGAGAAGATGCTAAGGAGTATCTGTCCGTGTTGACAAGGTTTGCTCGCCTCCGCACCTTGACACTCAAGCAGGTCCGCAGTGTGAACAATCTGTTGCTCGACCATCTGGTTGAGTCTGACGGCTCGGCGTTGCAGGAGCTACGGCAGTTGAACATACACACCTGGCGTGATGAATTCACAGAGCTGCCTGCGGCCATCACCACTCTCCACCACCTCACATCTATTCGAATAGAATTGCACAACTTATCGTCTCTTCCTGATGCCATTGGAGCTTTGTCAAGACTGCGAAAGCTGAATGTATCCGACTTCTTCTCCCTCATGCGACTCCCTGCTTCCTTCATGCATCTCTCCTGCTTGCATGAGCCCAACCTCAGCTGCACCAGCATCCGGCTGCTTCCTGCTGGCTTTACTCAGCTCAGCAGACTGAAGAATCTCAAGCTTGGGAACTGCAGGCAGCTCCAGGCACTGCCTGACGATATATGAGATCTTCCCATGCTCGATCTTCTTGATACTAGGGGTTGTTACATGCTGCAGCGCTGAAGGTGCTTTCCACCTCATAGGCTTACGGTAGTTCCCTAGTTAGTGTACCGTCATGCCCATATACTCAGGGGTCCTTTAAATGGCTCAAACTCAGACTTGACTGAGTGTAACGTCCTTTCCATCCATAGTATTATGGGCCTTGTGAGTGCTGTGGGCTGTGGTGTTGAAGTGCTGTGGGCTGTGGTGTTGAACTGCTGTGGGCTGTGTTGTTGAAGTGCTGTGGGCTGTGGTGTTGAACTGCTGTGGGCTGTGGAATGAGCAGCAACAGATCTAGGCAACCATCAGCGCCCTCTCAGCACCCTGTTCACTTCTGTATGGTGACAATTGATAACAATTTACCCTTCCAAGCATGAGTGACGACAACGGCAACAGACACGTGTTAGGCAATTCTTTCACCCACCAACCACCTTACTGTTCCATGCAACGGCAACAGACACGTGTTAGGCATTTCTTTCACCCACCAACCACCTTACTGTTCCATGCATAAACCCAATCACATCGCACACCTTACTGGTGTTTCAAACTCATAATACAGACAACCATCCTAGAACCTGCTGCTGCTGCTGCTTCTGCAGCCCTTGCTTCCTCTATACCAACACCTCACAAGCACACATAGATCTCACATCTGAAAAACAATAGAAACTGACATCCAGCATGTTCTTTCCTGCTCAAGCTTCCTTCTTTCCTGCTCCAGCTTGCAAAGTTTTTCATTCAAGGCCAGGATCAACCTGCTGCTCCTGCCTGTTTTGCTGCTTCCTTTTTCTCCCATTCCGCTTTCCCATTCCGCTTTCACCCGTGCCGCGTTCTCCCATTCCACTTTCGCCCGTGCCTTTTTACTCCCATACCTTACAAATTCACCTTTCCCGCATTCTCCAGTGCTTTCTCCATTGCCGCCTTCGTTGCCCTACTCACATGATCCTCTGGCCTCAACGCATTCACATAGTCTGCCATCACCGCCTTATGTGCTGCAGCCTGTCCCGCCGCCATCGCCCATCCCGCGATCCCCGATGCCGAGTTCGTCCGTGCTGCAGCCTGTCCCGTCTCCTTTGGTACCGTCACCTCATGAACCTTCCCCTTCACTGCCACCGCCGTCGCCTGTGCTGCCTGTGCCGCCAGTGCCGCCATCTTCTGTGCCGGTGTCGCCTCTGCCGGCGTCGCCTGTGCCGCCGGCGCCGCCTGTGCCGCGGTCTCCTGTGCCGCCATCTCCTGTGCCGCCATCGCCTCTGCCGGCGTCGCCTGTGCCGCCGTCTCCTCTGCCGCCTCCTGGTGCTTCCACTCCTCAACTGCCGTCAGCATCCTCTGCTTCTCAACGGGCGTGCCCACCGACTCAGCAGCCTGGAGCTGCTGCTGCTTCTCATTCCGCTGCTCCTCCTGCTGCTGCAGTTTTCGCTGCACTGGAGCAACATCTCGGACACGCAAGTGAGCCCACGAATCGCCAGAGTCAACGTTTTCAGAAACCGAGGGCCCAAGGGAAGCTTGGACTGAGAGACCGCCTGTGAGGGGAAAAATTCGGGAGAAGTTTAGAGGCACGAGTGAGCATCGACGGAAAGCTTGCAAAGAAACGGCGCTCTTCAGGCCACTGCCAGGTGGCCATTCTGCGTCGACAGACAGAAAAAGAAGTTAAAAGGGAAACGTCGGGGGTGAGAGCATCTTACGTCGATCGTTCTCATTGGAGGGAAGCAGCCGGCCACGAGCTCCTTCACTGCCTCGCGGCCCGCAAGACATGGCCAGGACGAGAAGGAATCCCAGTAGCATCATAGTGACTGTCTCGCGATGAATTTGACTCTGGAAGTTGTTGAGTAGAACTGTCGAGTCACTCGACGGTCTGTCTGTTTGCACTGCCAGTGAGGATTTTCGATACGGAAAATATAGGCACAAGGACTTCACTACGCTGCTGGGGGTTGTCAAGCGCACTGACTGGTTCCCAATAAGCTCGAGTCGCCAACCAGCAATCTCATCCTGTGCATAAATCACACCCCATCCTGTCACGAAATATGGAGGGGCGATAATGCGGGAAAGCAATAATGCAATCCAGGAATCTAAAATGGTTAGGGCGTGGGGCATCGTGTGCAAACAAGTCCCAGCAGTGCATGGGTCGATTGGAAGGCGGGTTTTGAGTTGAGCACGCACTGTTACTGAACTTCTTCGCTCCCAGCGAAGCTACAGCGCGTTCGCGGCCCCGCCCTGCAGCAGCTGCCGCGGAGCCTTCTACCGCCGTTGCAGCCCCGCCCTGCAGCAGTCACGGCCCCGCCCTGCAGCAGCTGTCGCGGACCTACCCTACCGCCGACGCGGCCCTGCTCTACCGCAGCTGTAGCGGCCCCGCCGTCGCCGCCGTCGTGCGCCTGCCCTTCCCGCCACTGGTGAGCACCTGCCTTGTTCGCGCACTGCCGCGCCATCTGCCTACCTGCTTGCCTGCCTGCCACGCCTGCCTGCCTGCCTGCCTGCCGCGCCTGCCCTGCCTGCGCTGCCACTGCTGCTACTGCTGCTCCTTCTGTTACTACTGCTAGGCTCTTACTGCTGCTGCTACTGCTACTGCTGCCACTGGCGGTGGCCAGATGCAGCTCCAGCGACGTCCGCGTGAGTCTCTCACGCCCCAGCAGCTTAGTGAGTGGTACGCTAGTTGGGGTTGTAGGGGTGGCCGCGCTGCTACTGCTGCTACTGCTGCTACTGCTGTTACTGCTGCTATTGCTGCTACTACTGCTACTTCTGCTACTGGCGGTGGCCAGATGCAGCTCCAGCGACGTCCGCGTGAGTCCCTCACGCCCCAGCAGCTTCGTGAGTGGTACGCTCAGAGTAGAGGGTCTCTGAGTACCGTTCGCTGCCCGTACGTCATTCGCACTGGTGCTCGGACTGGTCAGGCTTGCGGGACGCTCAGTCACACACAGTCCCGCTGCTTCACCCGTCTGAGCGACGCCTGGCGTACCGAGTTTGGCGACGAGGCTGAGCTCCCCGACTGGGTGGAGCTGCTTGGGCAGAGGGTAGATATCTTTGCTCTTGACTATGATGCTATTCTCACTGCCATGTATGCATTGCCTACTAGTGCTGACTGTGCCTGTTACCTGTGCGTACCGCCTGACCCAGGTATAGAGCCTGCTGCTCTAGGTGCTGGTGAGGCTGCTGCTTTAGGGGCTAGTGTGTCTCCTGCTCTAGGTACGGGTGAGGCTGCTGCTCCAGGTGCTGGTGAGTCTGCTCTCTCTGGTACTGCGCCTGCTCAGGCCTTGTACACCTTCACACTTGACTCTGGTGCTTCTCGCTCCTTCTTTCGCGACAGCACCACCCTCACGCCGCTCAGTCGGCCGGTTCCAGTCTCTCTGGCAGACCCCTCTGGGGGTCCAGTCTGTGCGACCTCTTCCACTGTCCTCCCTTGTCCTGCTGTCCCGTCCGGCACACAGTCGGGTCTTCACCTCCCCTCGTTCTCTACGAACTTGGTGGCGGATCTGTGCTCCAGGACGCGGGTGTTCACCAGTTCACCCCTGCCTACGAGCGTGTGACACACTGCACGTGTGCTCAGACGGGTTGTCACCTGGCTACCTTCAATCGGCAGCCGGGGTCGGGCCTGTACACACTGACCACTGAGTCCCCTCAGGTAGTTGCGTCTGCGTCTGCGTCAGGTCAGTTGTCGGCCCCCTGCTCGTGTCGCGCCTTGTCGCACCAGACCCTCCTTTGGCACCACCGCCTTGGTCACCCCTCGGTGCAGCGCCTTCGCAGCATGCACCGCCGTGTCCTTGTCCCTGGTCTTCCCAGGGTTCTCCCTCCCCTCCCACCCTCGCCTGCTCCTCCCTGTCTTCCCTCTATCGAGGGGCGGCAGCGCGCCGCTCCTCACTCCTCCTCGTTCCCTCCCACAGAGGCTCCCCTGCAGACTCTCCACCTGGACGTGTGGGGCACAGCCCGCGTCCGTGGACAGGGCCACGAGCGGTACTTCCTGCTGGTCGTCGACGACTACACGCGTTACACCACGGTCTTCCCCTTGCGCACCAAGGGTGAGGTCCCTGATGTTTTGATCCCCTGGATCCGCGCTGCTCGTCTCCAGCTCCGCGAGCGGTTCGGGACAGAGTTTCCCGTCCTGCGTCTGCACTCTGACAGAGGTGGTGAGTTTTCCTCCGACCTCTTTGTAGCCTTCTGTGAGGAGCACGGCATCACCCAGTCGTTCACGCTTCCGGCCTCTCCGCAGCAGAATGGGGTTGCTGAGCGCCGCATTGGCTTAGTCATGGAGGTCGCTCGTACCTCCATGATCCATGCGGCTGCCCCCCATTTTCTGTGGCCGTTTGCGGTCCGGTACACCGCGCATCAGCTCAACCTCTGGCCCCGTGTCTCCTTGCCGGAGACCTCGCCCACACTGCTGTGGACGGGGAAGGTTGGCGATGGGTCGCGTTTCCGGGTCTGGGGTGCTCGTGCCTTTGTCCGCGATACCACCGCGGACAAGCTCTCCGCCCGCGTTGTTCCCTGTGTCTTCCTTGGCTTTGTCCCTGGCGCGCCTGGTTGGTAGTTTTACCACCCCACCTCGCGCCGTGCATTCCCCTCTCATGACGTCACGTTCGACGAGTCGGTTCCCTTTTACCATCTCTTCCCCTACCGCACTGCCCCTCTCCCCCCCCCCGCCGCTCTTCCTCGCTCCAGGTGCTCCCCAGGTAGACCCCCTCCCCACTCCCGGTCCTGCTCCTTCAGGTGTGTCTCAGGTAGTCCCTCCTCCCTTGACTACGCCGGTTGAGGTCACTGGTGACTCAGGTCCTGCTGAGGGTGGTCCTGCTCGGGGTGCTGCTTCTGGGGGTGCTGAGCCTGGGGGTGCGGAGCCTGGGGGTGCTGAGCCTGTCAAGCTATATTTGTTATAGCTTATTTGTGTTAGTCTAGGTGTACCTTATGTTTTCCTAGGGTTAGGGTTATGCTTGCTATATCTTGCTTGTTTTCACTTTCCTTAGTCAACACTTCTAGTTTTGTAACTTGACAGAGCCTAGGGGTGCGGAGCCTGGGGGTGCTGAGCCTGGAGGTGCGGAGCCTGGGGGTGCGGAGTCTGGAGCTGCTGAGGGAGCTGGAGCTGGAGGTTCTGGAGCTGCTGAGGGTGCTGGCGCTGGAGGTTCTGGAGCTGCTGCGGGTGCTGGCGCTGGAGGTTCTGGATCTGCTGCGGGTGCTGGCGCTGGAGGTTCTGGAGCTGCTGCGGGTGCTGGCGCTGGAGGTTCTGGAGCTGCTGCGGGTGCTGGCGCTGGAGGTTCTGGAGCTGCTGCGGGTGCTGGCGCTGGAGGTTCTGGAGCTGCTGCGGGTGCTGGCGCTGAGGGTTCTGAGTCTGCTGTTGCGCGGTCTCCCTGGAGTAGCCGCCTTCGTCCGCGTGTGCCTCTCACCTCACAGCAGCTGCACGACTAGTACGGTCGCCGTCAGGGTTGCGCTTCTGGAGCTCGGGGCTCAGCCTCTGGAGGTGTTTCTGCTATCGTCACTGGAGCTGGGAGTGGTGCTGGTCCCGGAGGTGCTCGTACTGGAGGTACTGGAGCTGCTGGGGCTGGAGGTGCTGCTGAGCCTGAGGGTGCTGCTGCTGGAGACCCTGGGTCTGGGGGTGCTGCTGCTGGAGACACTGAGGCTGGAGACCCTGGGACTGGAGGTGCTGGTTCTGGGGGTGCTGCTGCTGGTGGAGCTGGTCTTGGAGGAGCTGGCGCTGAGGGTTCTAGAGCTGCTGGAGGTGCTGGAGCTGCTGGGGGTGCTGGAGCTGCTGGTGCTGGTGGCACTGCACAGCCGCGCCTGTTCTTCGCTCCACCGTCTCCGTCGTCTCAGCCACCGCCTGACTCTGTGCTTCGCCAGGTTCTTAGTCTCCCTTCGTCTACTGGTCTTCCGTTACAGCCTGGCTCACCGCTGCCTGCTCCTTCTCCTTATACTGAGCAGACAGGGGGTTTTACTGAGCGTCGTAAACCTGCGTCGCGTCCTGTCTCGCCTATCCGTTCTAGTAGTTTCGGTCGTCGTGTTCCTCGTTCGCGTCAGCCGACTGTCCTCGGCACCCACCTCGTAGTTCGTCGTCCTTCCTCTCCTCCGCAGCGTGTCCCCCTGCCGTCCCCTCCTGCGTCTTCTGTGATTACCGTTCCTGAGCCTGAGTCTGACCGGACCCGTGCTGCTCACCCTACTGTCACGCGTCTGCTAGCCACAGTTGTCACTGACCCGTCGTTTGAGTCTGCTGCTGCGTCTGCCTTTGTTGCTGAGCTTGTTGACTTTGCTGCTGCCTGTCGTCTAGACTACGCTGAGTCTGAGTCTGTCTGTCCTCCGTCCGTCGGGGGTGAGTGTGCTCTTGGCACGGACGTCCTTGAGGACAGGCAGGAGGACCTTGAGTGTCTTGCAGTTGCTGCGCCTCACCTCGTGTCCATGCTGCTTGCCCCGGATGCTCCAGACATCCCGACCCCGCGCTCTTACGCTGAGGCGATCGCGGGTGAGTACTCCTCTCAGTGGCAGACAGCCATGGACGCAGAGATGGCATCCAGGAAGTCCACGGGCACTTACGTTGACGAGGTTCCCCCTCTTTGGGCGAACATCGTCAGTGGCATGTGGATTTTCAGGGTGAAGCGGCCGCCAGGTTCTCCGCCTGTCTTCAAGGCTCGTTACGTTGCTCGAGGTTTCAGTCAGCGAGAGGGAGTAGACTTCTTTCAGACCTTCTCCCCCACCCCGAAGATGACCACTCTTCGGGTGCTGCTGCACGTTGCCGCTCAACGTGACTACGAGCTTCACTCTCTTGACTTCAGCACAGCTTTCTTACAGGGCAGCCTGCACGAGGAGATCTGGCTGCGCCGCCCACCTGGCTTCACTGGTGCGTTCCCTCCTGGTACCCAGTGGAGCCTCCGGCGGCCAGTCTACGGTCTCCGCCAGGCGCCGCGTGAGTGGCACGACACACCGAGGACGACACTTGCGGCTCTTGGGTTTGCTCCGTCGACTGCTGACCCGTCGCTGTTTCTGCGCACCGACACTTTGCTGCCGCCGTTCTACATCCTCGTGTACGTCGACGACTTGGTCTTTGCCGCTGCTGACACTGAGGCTCTCGCTCTGGTGAAGTCGGAGCTGCAGAAGAGACACACGTGCACAGACCTGGGTGAACTGCGCAGCTACCTTGGCTTGCAGATCACCCGGGACAGAGCACGCCACACCATCACACTGACTCAGTCACACATGGTGCAGCAGGTCCTTCAGCGCTTCAACTTCACCTGGTCCTCGTCACAGGCCACTCCTCTGGCGACAGGTCACTCGCTCTCAGCTCCACCTTCGGACGAGTCCGTAGAGCCAAGTGGTCCTTACCCAGAGCTAGTGGGCTGCCTCATGTACCTGATGACCTGCACTCGTCCTGACCTTGCGTACCCTCTTGGCCTTCTGGCTCACTACGTGGCTCCTGGTCGGCACCGAAAGGTGCACATGGATGCTGCTAAGAGGGTACTACGCTACTTGTGCAGTACATCGGGCATGGGGCTCGTGCTTGGAGGACGGAGCGACGTTGTCCTCACTGGGCACTCAGACGCTTCTTGGGTTGACGACCATGCTACGCAGCGGTCGTCACAGGGTTACACCTTCAGCCTTGGCTCTGGTTCAGTTTCTTGGCGTTCTACACGCTCGTCTTCAGTTCTCAGCTCCAGTTGTGAGGCTGAGATCTACGCCACAGCCATGGCTGCACAGGAGTTACGCTGGCTTACCTACTTGCTGACCGACCTAGGAGAGCGGTCTCGTTCTCCTCCAGTGCTGTACGTTGACAACAAGGCCGCCATTGCCTTGTGTCAGGAGCACAGACTGGAGCACAGAACGAAGCACATCGCTCTGCGTTACTTCCTGGCTCGAGAGTTGCAGCAGCGTGGTCAGCTTCGTCTTGCTCACGTGGCCACTCGGGCCAGCACTGCTGATATATTCACCAAGGCACTTCCGTCTGGTGATCATCAGCGTTTCTGCACTTTGTTAGGCCTTGTGCCCACGTTTCCTCACTTGCTGTAGACTTTGCTTGTACTATGATCTATATATATACCTGCATGCTTGCTCTGCTAGGTAGAGATCACTATGCTGTTATTGTTGCATATACATGCACACTTACATCTTTTTTTTTTTTCTGACTCCTCCCGAAGCTCTCCGCCATGGCTCCTTCACGGAACTTCAGCTCAACCAATGTCAAGCTTAACCTAACCCGTTCAGCTATCTGAAACTATTTTCTGGATCTACTCGCCAAGTGCTTCTTTACGACACCAACATTGTGTTCATACAGAGAACATCGGTTCGTCTTAAAGTCACTTGAGAAGATCTGTTTTTTCAGGTTAAAGCTGTTTTTAAGCTAAGACAGAGTTATTCCAAGGATGCTCTCAACGATCAAGCTCAAGTCAAACCGTCACCCCGCATGGGACCTGAGGATTAAATCGTTTTTAAGAAATGTCAGAAACTGCAAGTACAAGGAAGCTGGACAACAGAACATCTTTCGCCTATCAGTTTTTGCTTCCATCTATCATCAACCATTGAAGAGAAAGAAAGCCCGGAATTAGGTCGAGAATCGGGCTTCAGACATTGATACAGTGTTTTCAAGGAGAATAACCATGGCTGGATCTATTTCAAATCATCAAGGAAGTTGGCATCAAAAGATTTCTTCGCAGCATGAGAAGTGCCTTCTTAAAGAGTCGGAGAAACGGCAGTTGACTCTTAAAACGTCCAAAACGGCTACATCTATTATTACTGAAGTGTTTGAAGACAATGAGGCCTTCCCGCCAGAAACGTTTGAACAGGAAGATTTCTCACCGCCATCTCACCCGCTCAACTACGTTGCTATTTCTCCTAAGACTTCGGATGACGAAACGGAAAGTATAATTCGAGATGGCGATGGTTGGAAGTTACAGGACGATCATCTGCAACTGCAGGATAGTGATGGGAGCTTTGTAATTGCTCAACGCCATAAATGGCTCCATTGTTTTTCTGAAGGTGCTCGGTTCTCTGGAGAGAGGAGCATCAGTCAATGGCGTCGCGGCTTAGTGCTTGAGCTAAGAAGAAAGCCCTCATGCACCTTCAGGAGGGACAGAGCGGGTGCAGCGGCTGCTTCATTTTTTACTCGCCGTCACTCTTACAGGAAGTTTCGTAGAGAGCCTTCTCTTTACCAGTTTCGGATCCACCCAACCAAGTCTGGAGCCAGAACCACTCTCCACCGCTCTGGGAACCAAGCAACAGTCACAGCAGCCACATTTCAGTCAAAGCTGAAGGCAACAATGCGGCAAGAATGTGTGGACAGGTTTCTACCATATCTGAGGTGTGGCAACTGCGCAAAGAAAGCTTCAAACGGGCTAGATAAATTATTTAGGCATTTGACTTATAAACCTCCGTAGGAATCTGCGAGGGTACGGTAGGCACTTACGCTACCTATGCCCTCTAGCTCCGGTTACGACCGACGGTGTTTTGCGTTGTACGTTGTATAATGCTATGTCACCTACCAAAAAAAAAAAAAAAAAAAAAAAAATCTTGCATATATACCTCTGCATGTGAACTGGCCTTGTGGCCCTCTACTTGTGC